ATGTGGGTGGGTGAAGGATAGATGGAGAGTGGATGGATGGGTGGGTGGCTGGTTGGGTGGGTGGGTGGATGGATGGGTGGGCAGACGATGTTGATATTCATAAAGCAAGTAATGGGCAAATATGTATATACAAGAACTGGCACAGTATCCCCCCTCCTAATCAATCTTTTTTACTTCCTGTTACTGGGAAGTCCACAGCCTCCTAGGCCCAGATTGAGGAGACACCATGTCATTAAATCTGCTCCTTCTCTCCTGCCCACCATCCCTGCCCTAATTCAAGCTATGTGCTCCTTTTCCTGGCCACCACACTGGGACCCTAACTTTTCTCTGCCTCTGGGCTTCTCTTGTCCCCTTCCTCCACATTGGTTGCAGATTTTATTGCTCCGACCCTATCTTTCCCTTCTGTGTCTTCCACATGATGAAATCCAAACCTCTCACATAATTTTTCAACTCCTCCCTGCATGGCTGTGTCTGGCTTTCCAGGACTATCTTCTTGTCCCCCACAGAAGATGGGGGCCCTGCAATCCCCCCCGATTGCCCCACTCTCGTGTCCTGATTTATGTTCTTTTCTCCATCTGGAACACCTGTCTCCTTACCCCGCCTTGCCCAGTGAAAATGATGACTCCTCCCGTAAGTCTCCCACACCCGGCTCCAGAGTCGTCCCAAATCAGGAATGAAGTGTTCTTTTTCTGAAACACTGTGACACTTCTTCCATCTTGGAGGTGTCCTCTGTCCATCCATCCATTCATACAACACCCTTTGACCCCTACCGTGGTCAGCCCTGCCTTGGCACCGGTGACAGCAAGAGGAAGGGGTGGTTCTGGTGGGGTGGGCAGCCATGACTGGGGCAGGGGAGTCCCTGCTGGGAAGTGGGGGGCAGCCAGAGTGAGTCAGTAGAGTCTTTGCAGATGGAAAGCCCTGAGGCTGAGGGAGCAGCACGTTGCAAACCAAGGTGTGCTCCCAGAAGGGCTGGGGCAGGGCAGGGCACATGTGGGGGGGCTAGGAAATGGCTAAGAATGCATCTTGAACATCTTGAAGAGCCCTGAATGCCAAGATGAGGACTCTGGCTCGGCTAACAGGGGGTGCCAGTGGTCGTTATGAGCAGCTCGCGCCTACTGCAAGAATGGCGAGTTGACGTTCTGTGTCTCTGCCTTCCCCGGACACTAGGTGAAGCGATATAAGGCTGTGATCGGCGATCTGTGTGTTGCAGACCCAGCCTGCCCTGAACTGAACTGGCCTATGTGGGTGGAGGGTAGACGGCCGGTTTGATGGGTGGATGGACAGGGGAAGGCAAAGAGGGACACCGTGTTTCTTTCACACCCGCCGAATGCCAAACTCTACCCTGCGCAGGTGTGCTTGCTGGAATGTCGTTTCATTTCAGTTTGTTTTGTGAACAGACGAAGGAATGAGCTCAGATGAAGGTGGCCTGTCAAGACCTCACTGCTCTTAAGGGACCAAGCTGGGAATTTCGCCAAGGCCTTCTGACCCCAAGTCCGTTAGGCACCCTTGGAAGTGCCCATGATGGGCTACAAATGGTGTAGGGTGCGGCAGGCCAGGAGCCATGCAGCTGGATGGACAGATGGACACGTTCCCAGATGCAGGAGTCTGAGCCAGCCGGGTCTGCACGCCCCACCCCCGCCCAGGCCAGAGACAACTCACCTTACACCCTCTTCCCTGGCAAGCCTCAAGCTTTTCTGCCCTGGCTGTCCCCTGGAGGGGAGTCATGGTGAGCTCCCTTCTGCCCCTCGGAAGCACTAATTCCTACCCACCCCCACCCCAGAGCTAATCCTGCACCATTCAGAAATCTCTGACCTACCTACAACCTGCACCAGATGGGCCTGCCCTGTGCCAGCCGGCACCCACAGCCGAGCCAAGGGGAGGAGGGGACAGCTTCCGGACGGGAGCCCACGCAGCAAGACCCAGGTCTACAGGCCATTGTCAGGGCACGGCAAGAGGGCAGCAGGGGGGCAGAGCTGAGGTTGGTCTGGGGCCTCCACTCCCCAATTTCTAGGGCCCCCTTCCCTTTGCTGCCTCCACAGCACACACACTCATGCACACACGTGCACACTCACACACAGTTGCTCCTATATACACGCACACTCAAGCCCACACGTGATACATACACACGCACGCACACTCACACCCACACACTCGTGCACACATGGTCATACGTGCAATTATACTTACATGTTCACACTCACACACACTCACTCACACAACGCAGTCCCCCACGGCAGAGCCCAGAGCTCAGTACACAGGCCTGCAGGCAAAGGTGCGCCTGGCGGTGGGTGATGCTGACGATGAGTCAGGAGGTGGGGATAGCCGGGTGGCCAGGGCGTGTGATGCCAGGGGCAGGGGTGGGGCTCAAAGACGCACAGAGGCAGAGCTGTCCAGGCTTCTGTCCTTTTTCCAGGGCCAGCCTCCCTGGCCTAGACCCTCCCCTCCCTCTAGCCCCCACGTTCCGCCCCCACCTCACTGGGCGGCTGTAATCAGTGACATGCACCTGGGCTTGGACCCACAATCCGGGGACAGTGATGATCTGGCTAGACATGAGCCAAACCCTTCCGGAGTGACAGGGAGATGGGTCCTGCTGGTGGGGCCCTTCAGTCCTTATACATTTGCACCGAGCTCCCCACTTCGAATGTGAGTGGATCACAGCCTCTCTCCTGCAATCTTGGTCCATTTCTTTCTGCCTTGCCCTGGGGACATGAGGTCCTGTCTGCCTGGCGCCCTGCTCTGCTCCCAGCCAGCTCCTCTCACAGCAGTGAGGGGCTCCTGGAAGTTGTACCCACTCAGGGTTTGGGGTCAGGGGTGTGTGGGACATGCTTGGTGGCTCTCTCCACCCCCCGCCCCCCACTGGCACCCCGGCCACCAGGACGGACTGTCTAGAAATCATGTGGGAGAGGGAAGGCAGAAAGCAGTGACTTGATCAGAGGCCCTGTCTACCGTGGCCTCCTTCTGAACGCCTGCCTGGTCTCAGGGTCCTTGTGAGGGGCTTGGAGAAGCTCTCCGCACTGTCCTCCTGTCAACAGGAGAAAGGCTCCAAGGGTCTTCATTGGTGTGCGGCTCCATCCCCGCATGCCCAGGGGCAGCCCCAGGACCCCATCCAGAGGACAGGACATTGAGCCCTGGGTCTGCTCTGCAAGGACTAAGCTGGCTGTGTAGAGAACGCAGTCCTGTGCCCCCCCGAGCCCTGTCAAGGCAGCCTGGAAGCTTCCGCAGCTCAGGACCCGGACGGGCAGCCCCGCCCTGCTGGCTCGGAGCTAGCCGGCAGCCATGTGTCTCTGGATCCCATGAGGCGGCCCCCACCTGCCATCCCCCACTCCCCCTGCCCCCCTCCCCTGCCCCACTCACTTTGAGGGAGTAGGCCAGCGCGATGAAGCCCAGGCAGCAGAAGTTGAGGTAGACGAAGTTAAAGATGGACCACAGGTAGTAATCGTTGACCTCGGTGGTGTCTGGGTAGACTTCGATGACTGTTGTGGGGTTCGTCATAGTCTTCTTCTCGGCTAGGTGCTTGCAGGCCTGGGGGGCACCAGAGGCCCGCACGCTGTCCGTCTTGCTGCTCTTGGACTCCATGGGGAACAGGGTGGGCGCCATGGGGGGCGATGCTGAGGGCTCAGGGGCCGGGGCCGCTGGAGCCTGCAGGGCCGGGGGCTTGGACACACAGGCAAAGCAACCCTTGGGTGAGCCTGCCGGGGGCCTTGGAATCCAGAAGGCCCCGTCCAGGGGGACTCGGGCTTCCTGGGCGCCGTCCGTGGTGCTGGCCGGGGCTCCCAGCGACGCTGGGCACTGGCCGGGGCCCTGGGCCTGGAGGGAGGCAGGGAGGAAGAATGAGCTGGGTCCTGCCTGCCCTGCAGGGCTTGCCCTGGTGTCCTGCAGCATCTCCCCTGCAGACTCACAAGCAGCCCCAAAGGAGATGGAAATCCCCACCGAGGCGGCCAGCTGCCAGCCTGCCTCCCCGACCCGCCCCAGCCACCCCGATGCCAAAGCCCTTCACAGCAGCCTTGGCAGGAACATCGGGGGCTTTTCATCACTTTGCCATCTGCGCACAAACATTCACCCACTGACATACAACAGCAACACCCCCCATACCCAGCAACGCCCCAACTGACAGGCTGTTGTAATAGAGCATGCCAGCATCCCGAACACCCCGGCACACACAGGCCAGGCAAACCCACAATGGCAGCGTCTCGGCCACTATCTGGCAAAATGAGCAGAGCTCTCCGGAGCACCTGCAGGCTGACAACACTGACATGGACCACCAAGACTCTCCAGACCCCCGGGCGCACCCGTGTGCTGAGATGCTTCCAGGTAAACAGCTCCGCACTGTGACACGCAGCGTGGACACACACAGCCACACGGGCTCGGACGCAATCGCCCGGGGGTGGAAACGGCCACTGCGGGCGCCCCAAACTCGTGCGCGTCGTCCCCGCCCCCAATCCCGGCCCAGAGCGGCGGCGGGGACCCCAAGCGCTCGCTCTCGCTCGCAGGGAGCCACCCAGCCCGTGCCACAAACAGACGCACAAGGAC